TTTGGTAGCTTCTTTTAGATTTGCTATCTTCCAGACTTGACTAGGCTTGCATTACTAAACCTAATCGCTACAACAGCTTCTTGGTCTTCAAGGCGTTTTCGTCCGAACGTAATATGCGAAACTCAGCAAGAGTAGCAAAAGCAACGTCATTCTTTGACTCTGGTATTTGGTCAACCCTGTAATTAAGTCGACGTAGCATCTTTTTCATCAAATTAGCTGCAGCGGAAGTAATCAAATAGAGCTGGTCGGAACCACTCACATCTATTTTTTTACGCGCAAGACGTTCAGCGAACTCGTAGAGAACACGGTACTGCGAAGTCTCAAAAATTTCAGCAGACACCTTTTCATTGGGATCTATTGGAGGAATTTGGAGCTTGGTGCATGCGTCCATCAGTAAGTCTAGGGAAGTGCGAGGACCATCAAGAGCCAAGGATTTGATTTCTTCTCGCAGCTTTTCAAACTGATCCTTTCTATTAATACAATCCACATCGTAACGACTTTTCGCGAAGATAATCCTCAAGTCGTAATCGAGATCACCCCTGAGTATTCCGTCTTGTTCGTGATAATTCTCCAGCGTAAATTCGTTTTGACCGATTGCATTCAGCAAATACTGTCGCCGATTATTATAATCAATTTGAAGTTTTTCAACAGCGATGTGCATTTCCCACCAACGCACGTCAGTCGCACTTCCTAGTTTCGTGCCTATGGGACGAGCGTGTTCCGGGAGGTTTTTGATCTCTCGATCATCTTCAACTATTTTCTCGGAACTTTTTAAATGTTTCTGGAATGTTCCCAGTTCGATCGCCAGCTTATCGGTGAGGACGGAAATCTCATTAATGATATCGGGACCATTGCCCCTTTCTTCCATTGTAGGAGAGTGAACTCGTACAATCCGCACCGTGGGGGTGTCACTATCCGTCTTTTCCTGCACATTGTCAATCGTGAACGAAGCTTCAATCCTCGACAGCAACAAGGCAGCAGCAAAAAGACTTTGGTACAGCTTCATCTTCCGGGTTT